TTCTAAAATAGTGTTAGCAGAAGTACTTCACTGCACAGACTGCACAGAGTTCTTGTCTTCACCATTCCTTTCTGTTTTATCATTATAACCATAGTCAGAAGCACAGAATTTACCTAAAAGGTAAATTTAGTACTGTCAGTACCTTGACCTTGAAGAAGTACTTCAGTAAGGAAAATCTTCTATTTATTTACTCGTTTGCGTATTTACTTACTTACTTACTTACTTACTTATGGACAGTACCTCACCATGTAGCCCAAGTCCTGGAACTCCCGGTCCTCCTGCCTCAGCCTCCCCATTGCTGGAATTATAAGCTGTGCCAGCATACCCAGCTTCAAGGCAAATACTGATTTTTTTGAAGAAACCTTCTCAGAAAATGTCAGGGATGCCGGGCATGGTAGTGTACACCTATAATCTCAGCACTCAGGAGGTGCAGGCAAAAGCATGGAGCGTTTGAGGCCTGTGGGCTATAGAGTGAGTTCCAGTAGAAAACGTGGGAGGGAGGAGAATGTGAGTTAAGTGAGGGTAATAGAGGGTGAGCTTGCTCAGAACACACTGCATGCATCTGTGGGATTTTCACATGGAACCCTTCGCTATGGATGATTCCTGAAAGAAAAGAAAGGTTGGGAGTGGGGAGGGGTAGGAAAAAGGGAAGAAAGAAATTTCTGTTTTCTTCCTCCTGTGTGATACATGGGGTCCACCTGTGGCCCTTCCTCACAGGAGGAAGGAGGGATTTCCTTTGCTTTCTTGAGCCGCCCGCCCGATGGTTCATCTTCTCAACTCTATCCTACTTTGTTTCACTGAAGTTTTCCTTGCTGTCCTGCCTCCTTGTCAGGACATCATAGCCTCCACCTAAGTGACCCTGAACAAATTTGAGTTCAGCCGCAGGAGAGAGAGTCTTTCCATCTTGGCCACGTGCCTTGTGCTTTGCTTTCTAACTGTCCCTACGATCACAGTGGCACTATAGCATCTTCTCCTTGGATCAGCTGTTGTATACAGTTGACTCTAAAGCAGTGAGGCCAGTTCTTTTGCAAGAGTACTAAAATGTTTATACATTAAAATGGATCTTGTTTGTCAAAGAACAAGAGCTTTTGAAAACTACATCAGTGGTGCTGCCACTTAAAACAGTGGGTCGTAATTCTTTCTGACCACAGACACCTTTAAGAAAATGAAGGAAGCCATGGGCTCTTGTGAAAAATGTGTGAACAAATGGTCACTCATGTGCACCCTACAAATAGAGCCTCAGATGAAGCCCACCTGAGAACCCGAAGCATGTCAGACCCAGGTAAAGGACCCCACGTGCCCCCTCAGTGGAGAAGAGACTATCACCCCCACCCATGTCCGTGAAGTAATCCCTAGAACCAAGGTCCTTGTGTGACAAGGAGAGCTCAGGTTGTCGATGCAATGGAAACTGAGTCAGCTGGCCCGACATGGGTTAAGTGGATAGTGAGTGTCAGCAAGCCAGGAGGCCTTTCCTGGCTGTAGTCATAGGGAGGCGTGATGGTAGAAGAACGATCAGCAAGAGCCACAGGTGAGAATTGTAGGAAATGAGTTTTTCTCAAGAGCCTCCAAACATCTTTATTTTAGCCCCACAAGACCTGTGTCCGACCTGCTGTAGAGGTGTGAGGTACTAAGCTCAGTGCGTTTGGAGCCAGTGTGTGGTCACTGGACAGGGCACAGGACAAGGTGACTGTCCTGCATCCTGTTTTATGCAGTCCAGATGGAGAGGTGAGCCTAAGATGCATCACCAGCCCTCTTGTAAAATCATAGTGTGCCTTCCACACAGTCCACCTTCACAGTAGGTCTAGATGGGCACACAGGGTCCTAAAGTGCTTTTCACTTTGCCAGCTGGTTTCAGTAAGGTGCTAAGTCACCCATGAGAACGCAGAGCTGAAGCTACATGGTTTCCTTTTATATAATAGATAGGATATTGCGCTCACATGAGAGAAAAACCATTTTCTCCTTTTATTATTATCTAAAGCAACCAGGTTTTAAAATACGGACTATTTGGTAGAATTTAAAGATCCACATGTCTGATCTCTGTGGTTGCTAAGGCTGAATTTTCTCAACAGAGTTATAAAACCAATATAAGAAAAGCATGTTTGAACACAACATGGACTTTGTGATGCTTCCGGGGTCAGAAAGACCCAGTGTAATTAAGAATTAAGAATTAAGAATTGCGATTGCATGGCTGTCTTCCCCATGGCTTCAGAAACTCTGGTACGTGGGCAGGGGGTGCTTGTGATCAGTCTGATCCTTCCCTCCTCATGGAGAAAAAAAAAACAAAACAGTTTCCTTAAAGAAAATACTTTGGATACTGAGATGCTAAGACTCCAGGCGTTTTGTGTTTATCTACCAAAGTTTAGAAGATGTCGGTCTGTTTTCCTAGAAATTATTAGCTACTAAAGAACATCGTTTTTTGTCTTTTAAAAAAATGAGTCTGAATATAAGTTAAGAAATAAATGTCTTACAAGAAAAAGACGAGACATTTAGATGTGCTATATTTTTTACAATGCCCCTGGAGCGTCTTTGGATGTGTAAGATTGTATCTCGATTGCACAGTATGGTGGCAGGAACATTATAGGTACTTAGTAGATGTCTGTGGCATGAGAAAACATCCTTTTGAGTGTGTGTCATGTCAACCCCATTTAACTCCAATCAAAGAGAAATAATTATGTCACTGTCTAAAGAGTCCATGTCTAATAAGCCCTACTAGTCTTTGTGTATTCACAATCTTCCCTTTCTTTATTCTTTTCTTCATTTTCATAATGGGGTCTCATATGTTGTCTAGGCTACCCTTGAACTCGCAATTCTGCCTTAACCTCCCAAGGAGCTGGGACTACAGGAATGAGCCACCGTGCCCTGCTTGAAGCATTCTTAAATAATAGTTTAACTGGGTATAGAATTCCAAGTTGACAGGTTTGGTTTTGGTTTTGGTTTTTTCCTCTGCATGTTGGAAGATAATCCCATTATTTTTGGTGGTGGCCACATCAATGAGTTTGCTGTTTCTTTGTGGGTATTTTCTGTCTTAAGAGTGTTTAAACCTAAATACTCTAAAATAAAGGGTTATTCCCTTTATCTGTAATCTACAGAAGGACAGATTTGGACTGGGGTGTAGTTCAAGTGGTAGAGCATCTGCCTGGCCACCACCAGGTCCTGAGTGAGCTCAAGCCATGGTGCCACCAATAGTGGCATGGCACATTTGTTCTCATTTTCCCAATAAGAGTCTCGCTCTTTTTTTCAGTTTGAAGATCCGTGCCTTCTTTACTTGCTGGCATTCTCTTTTCCTTTTTCTCCATTCTCTCCCTCTTGCATTTTAGACGTTTTCCTATGTCTCTGTCTCTTCATTTCTTTCCTCCACCTCCTCCTCCATTTCCTCCACCTTTTCCTCCATCTCCTCCTCATCCACCTCCTCCTCCTCCATCTCTTCCACCTCCTCCTCCATCTCCTCCACCTCCTCCTCCATCTCCTCCTCCACCTCCTCCTCCTCCATCTCCTCTACCTCCTCCTCCACCCCTCATCCATCTCCTCCTCCTCCATACATTCGGAGCAGTTTCATTCTTCCAATTCATTGCCATCACTGTAGGCTGTTTATTCTGCTGTTTATGCCATATGATGAATTGTTTCTACTTCTTTCTTTTTTTCCCTTTCTCTCTTTTTACTTCAAGGCTATATTTCTTCTCTAAAGTTTGTATTTTGCTGTTTCTGGACATGGCCCCATGATTCCTTTATCCTTCCAGACATGGTGAAGATTTAAAGTCGGTTTAGGTTGCTTTGTCACCTGTCAGTCCTCAGAGAGTTCTCGTCGTTGTCACCTCGGCCGGCTTCCCTAGTGGAGGGTTTTGCGTGTTCTTTGTCATCTGTGTTGAACCCCCCTGGAATCACAAACACTGTCTGGACAGTCTTCCTGTGGTGTGTGTTCATATTTGCCCCTCATTGAGACCTGTGGTTTCCACTGGTTCTTGGCCAATTTTGTATGTTGGCTTCCAGCTCAGGTTTTGCATACCACCCAGGTGGTGCAAAATCAGATTCCACAAGTGATACCAGCTGGGCTTCCATCCTTCTCCAGTGAGCAAGTCTCTCCAGAGTCCTGCATCCTGTCTAGACTTCCCTAGCTTTACCTTGTGTGGGTGTTCTTCTCATACCTTTGTTTCTTCACTTTGTAACGCAGGGTGCAGGGAGTTCAATCATCACCTCTCCCCTCCTCCCATGGGGTCCTGCAGATTATAACCTAAACCTTCAGCTCCACTCACCACTGGGTTTCTTCTTTGTTTTAGAAGGGCACTTAGAAATTTTGCTTTCTTACTTTCGAGCTCAAGTGTAACTTTGTGGTTGTTAAATGTCATCAAGTATTTCTGGTTTTGGAATGAAATGAGGACCTTCTACCTGCTTATTCCTATTGTCAAGGAAAGTGAAACCATGTAGTTTAAAATGATTTTTCTTGACATGCTGCCGGTCAGTCCACACTAACCAAGCATCTGCAGTCTGTGAGAGACGCCCGACTCTGTCTCTAATGTCCCAGCTGACGCTAACATCTGTAAGCACAGACACCCCCGCAGCCCAGCACAGGCTCAGTAGTAAGATTCAGGAAAATAGTTCCTTATTTAGTTGTCACACAAAGATCATTCTTTTTTATAAGTCTGTCCACTCTTCTAAAATTAAACAACTGAATGATTGCTTAATAATTTTGAGGGAAATTACCCAATTTATATTTTTAGACTCTTTATGCCATCACTTATATAGTCCTTAAGTTTTATCTGTGGGATAGTAGGTGGCAGATAAGTATCAGTACTTCCACAGCCTTGACCATAGAAGTACCATATTTTCCCTGCTCCATCCTTTTAAAGACCCAGCTTAACATGGCTGACATGACGTCAGGTGGATGTGCTCTACTTCATTATGAAGAGAGCATTAGGAAAAGATAGGACTTTCTTTGTCTTACTGGACCAAAACTGGCCTTTATTCTTTTCAGACTGTGTTTTTGCTTCCTTCCCTTTCTTCAGACATTTAAAGAAAAAGTGAACGCAGACACGGCGACACACACAGAGACAGATCATTGTCATCCACCGAGTAAGGGAAGCATTTCGTTTCCTCTTTATGTTTCGCATCCTGTGAGCCAGAAGAAGAAGAAGGTGTACCGTACAGACCAGACCACGTTTATAATGGGGGAAACACCAAAGGGAATACGCAGGTACGGCTCTGTGAGGGCGCCAGATGCAAAGAACAACCAGCAGAAGCAGCATCTCCCCTTAGTAAAATACTAAATTATTTGATATAACCATTCCTCACAGCTGAGTATTTCAGAAAAATCTGAAGTTGTACATTTAAAAACATAAAGTCCGTGCTGTTCATGGTTTTAGAAGACTAATCCCTGAGTAAGTTTTAAAGATGATCATATGGAAAGAAACGAAATACTTAAGTACATTTCATTCATTCGTTCACTGATACTTACTGAACATCTGACATATGCCTGGCACTGTGCTGAGTGCTGAAAATACAGTGGAAAAGACGCACACAGAGATTACAGGGCAGATGGAGGTAGGCAAGGGGTCAGTGATGAACCGTATTTTACTCTCTTTTTTTGCAGTACTGAGGTTTGACTCTGGACTCCACACTCACTAGGCAGGCACTCTACCACTTGAGCCATGCCACCAGCCCTGAACCATAAAATTTGAGAAAGTTTTAAGAACCCTTATTTAAAATCATTATATAATGGTGTGTTATAAGAGAGAAATGGACTGACTGCCTTGATAGAGGCAGGTGAGATGGCAAGGGAGGAGCAGCTTTCAGTGGGTGGTTGGGGAGACCTCTCAACATGTTGACAGCAGAGGTGTTTTCAGAAGACCTTGGCTCTTGTGTTCCACTATGGAAGAATCCAAGCAGAACACGAGGGTGTAAATGGGGTTTATTAAAACTTGGGAAAGGAAATACAAAGGGAGCACGGTGGGCACAGGTGGAGTCCATGCTTTTCCTTTTCAGGTGCTTTTAAAACCTACACTAACCCATGGGGAGGGCAGACCCAGGAGATTCCCACCCAATAATGAATGAGTGGGGGAGGGGCGTGGCAGTTCCCAGCCAGCTGAGGGTAGTCTAGGCCATCCCCAGGCAACCTACATGAGCCCCAAACTTTGCTGACCTGACTCACACAGCTGAAACCTGCAGGATGAGCAGGCAGAGACCCAGAGTGAGAGCGTCTCTGAGGGGCAAGAGGACCCAAGAGAAGACTCGCAGGCCCAGGCATAGCAGAGCACATGAGCCGAGGTAGAGCATAGGTAGGGCTGGAGCACTCAAGGCTTCATCTGTGGGCTGTCCCCATGAAGTGGACGCTGTTCACACATGCTCTTCAGGGGTCATACGAGCTTCTGTGTGGAGGAGGGCAAGGAGCCAGGTGATGGCCATTTGCCCTGAGATGGTTGCCATGGGGATGGCACAACATGGATGACTTTTTTTTTTCTTGCTGTACCGGGGTTTGAACTCAGGCCCTTGCACTTACTAGGCAGGTGCTCCAGTACTTGAGCCATACTGCCAGCCAGATGAATTAAAGTTGATGAGGGAAGGACAGAGAACAGCGTTGCATCTTGAGCCACAGCTGAGATTTACTGAATGAGGAGAACTCAGAGTCAGAAGCGTGGAGTGAAGAGAACTCAAAAGTTCTCTTTGGGATTCTGGGGAAATGTCAGATAGGTGGTGACAGGCATCCTGTGGGTTGGGTTGGTGTCATTAGCATACAGATTACAAATGGGTACTGCCTGGGAGCCCAACATAGCAAGGAAGGCAGAGGCCCCTCCTGCAGGGAGGAGGCACAGCACAGTCCTCAAGTCCTAGAGAAGCAGAAGGAGAGTTTCACAAAGGAAGGAGCAGGCCACTTTACCCAGTGCTGCCGATCAGATGGAAGGGAGAATGCCAGCTAGAGGTGGGGGCAGCCAGCTTACTGCCTCTGGGCATGAGCAGAGCCCTCTGAGAGACTCAGTGGGCAGATGCTTGGGTGAGGGGACCAGCAGGGAATGGGAAGCCTGTGACAGCTATTCAAGTTTGTATGTGAAAGGAACCAGAGCTGCACTGTGGGGCCAAGGGTGGTTTTTTTTTTTTTTTTTTTTTTTTTTTTGGGTCGGGTGGGGGGTACGGTTGGTTTTTTTTTTTTAAGTTGGGAAAATGGTAGAACCTGATTGTTTAGGGAAAAGACTGGTAGGAAAACAAGACCATGCAGAGGGGTGGTGGCAGAAAGCACGATGTCCTGGAGACAGGTGAGGCATTGAAAGGGAAGGGACAAACAGGGCACAGGTATGATGACATATTCTCAGTGAATCAGTAATTTCAGGTATCAGCCGGAGGGAGAGAAGTTAAGAAGTATTTATGAAGTAGAAAAACAAGCTTAGTGCACTAGAATTCCTGGGTACTGTTGAGTCCTTTCTTGAGAATAGGCTTGGTGAAGCCATCCGGGCAGTTGTGTGGGCTTTACCCAGTGAGCCTCAGTGGCTCTGTTGCAGGTGCAGGATCTGGAGATGGCTGGGTTTTACCGGGATTACAGCGATGGAAGCAGGGAAGCACCAGCATGTTTGTAAGAGACAGATGATGAAGACACATGTGAGTTGGGCAGGGGAGGCGGTGAATTGGAGGACCTCTGAGTCGCAGGTAGATTACAGCATTCCTGAGGTGGCATGGTGATTGAGTGGTGAGCTGGGGCACGAGAAGATTGAATTTGGGGATTTGGAGGTTGTACAGTTGATGGCAATGACAGGGAGATACAACCTAAAGTGTAGGGGGCTAACGCGAAAAACTGAGATGAGTCTTCAGAGGTCAGGTAAAGAAACGGGGCCAGGTGTTAGATGGGATGTCCACATAGGTATTGAGGTTATGGAGAATGATGGCAAGAAGGGTTGGACATGGCTCGAGCAGTAGAGTACCTGCCTAGCCAACACAAAGCCAGAGCCCAAACCCCAGGGAAGAAATGGTGCAGACAGTAGGATTAATCCAGAATCTGAAAGGAAGCAGGGAGGAGGGGACATGGTCCTGTTGGCCTCTGAGGGCTGCGGGAAAATGACGCTGGCTTGGTGGGCTCAAAATACTTCCATCAGAGGTTGACCACTCCTAGGTACCTGGTCCCTCAGCTGACCAGGGAAGGGCTGGCCCCTCAGCCCCTGGGCATGGCGGGCTGCCGTGACAGTGCCTCTCCCCACAGACAGACTTGCCACAGTGATTTTTGCAGGAACTCTCTTTCGGTGTGGGCAGTTGCTTTGCTGGGAGGCTGATGGTCTTTGAGGAACACGAGGTGTCTTTGCCTCCTTTGGCCTTGTAACATGGCTAGTTCTTGCCTCTAGCCAGCCTAGAGAGTGTTTAGTATTAGAAGGTCAGGATGTGACTTGAGACAATGTCCAGACTGCTGGTGCCCCTCTTTCTTGGTGGCCATCCCAGGCAGACCATGTACATGAGGCAGTCAGGAAGCTTAGGCAGAGGGAGGTGATTTCAGTGGGGTTCTGCCCCTCTCCTCAAGAAAGGAATTTTATCCGTGGTACACACTACTTCTCACAGACCTGGTTTCCGTTTCCCCTTCTCCCCCTGAGTGGCTCGTGGGAGTCTACTCGTTTCTTGACCTTCTGCCCCTCAGTTCCTGGATGCACCCCATTTCCTTGAGTTCTTTTGAAGCCTCAGAATTAGCAAAGCAAAGTTAGATGGCAAAAATAGAATGAGTGATAATCATAGCTCCTCCTGTAAGGACAGCCATGCAGCCTGACTTACTTGCGGGTTGCTCAGGTTAAATGGCTTGAAGCAGCTACCCGAGGTGACAGACCCAGAGTCACGGGTGAGGTCATGGTTTCAGCACAGCAGAGGTGAAGTTACTTTAGCCACTGCCGAGACACCATCACATCTTGGATAAATAAAAGACGTCAGCCTGTAACCCTGCCAATCACTAAATCTTCACAAGTGAAACATCTATCAGAAAGGCCATGAGGATGGATTGGAGATGATTAATAAACAAAATAGTAGTATCTTACTACTTCACTGGAAGTAAGAACTGGAGCCCTCTCAGAGCAGTTTGCTTTCCAACAAGAACACTGGCAGTTTCCAGGACAGAAATGTGGGAGCTGGTGGTGTTTGCTTTACTACATATTCCGCAGGAGATGAGAGTGGTGTGTGCTAGAAGCCATGGCGCTCGTGTAACCACAACAGAAGTGAGCGGGCGCTGTGATCTGCCACTGACACCAAGGAAACACAGACTTTATATAACCCCACCTGGGTAGCAGGAAAGGGGGTGGGGGAGGATGGAACTGGAGACAAGGCTCAAGTGGCAGAGCACCTGCCTAGCAAGCAAACCAAGGGCCCTGAGTTCAAAAACACAGTACCATGGGGAAAAAAGTGGCATAAAAGCTCTTATTCACATGCATTAAAAATAAATCACTATTTTTCCCTGTGGAATCTCTCTGTGCATAAGACAGAATTTAGCCTACTCAGCTTGGTGTACAGACCTCTTACAGTCCCCAGCCTCCTCCTTGGTAGTTTCGCCTGCCCCTCTGCTCCCCTTGGAGCTGGGCCTGTGTGCGTGTTCCCTCCTCATCCTCACCTGACTGGTGTGAGGTGGGTGACAGCAGAAAAGCCCTTCCTACTCACAAACACTTAGTGGCTTAGGTCCCTTCCGAGAGCATCGCTTGGGCCATGTGTTGATCACCTCCACTGTAAGATTCATCGCCACTCTAGTCTAGTTTTATTTTCATGCATTTGTCCCCCAGCCTATACAGCAGACTCCTCAAAGCTAGGAAATGGGGTCTTATCCACTGTTGCATCATTTGTACTGTATGCCCAGCACCTAACAGGGCTCTCTACCTATCTGTTGAATAAGTAAATGAATGTGTATGGAACAATCATGGAAAATGTAATTCCGAAACCACCTGTGGTTTCTGGGTAAAGAAGTATTTACAGACCTGGGCTCCCCTGACTCACAGTCCAGTCTCTGCGGCGGCAGAGCCATGCCCTCTGGCCGCCCAGGCTGCCAGAACAGCAAGCTATAGGCCAAGCAGCTTAAACACAGGACTTCATTTCTCACAATTCTGGAATCTAGGAAGCCTAATTCAGTTTTGGTGAGTGCCCTCCTCCCCACTTGCAAATGGCCCACCTTCTCACTGTGTCCTCCCTTGACAGAGGGGGACAGAGGGAAAACCAATAAACAAAGTATCTCATGGCTCCATGTAAAGTGAAAACTCTGTGCTGGCTCTCTGACCTCTGTTCTTATAGACACTGATCCTGTTGGACTGAGTGCCCAACCCTTAATGACCTCAAGGCCCTATCCCAATTATTGTCACATCGGGCATTAGGGTTCCAGCATGATTTTGTGAAGCAGAAATGATTCAGTCCTTGTGCCCTCAGCTACAGGAAGCAGCAGGGTCCAGCGCTACCTCCATCTAACGAGGGCTTCACCTCCTGAGTGCTGGATTACAGGTGCACACCACAATGCTTGGCAAATAGCATCTCACTTCTAAGTTTTGCCCTCTGTACTGAAGTTGAACCAGTTGGTGGAATTAAGAATCTAGGTGTATCGGTATAGAACTTTCTTTTAGGCTCATCAAAACAAATTTTGAAATTTCTATGTTATTTTTGTGGAAGGAGAGAAATGGAAAAGTGTTTTCCTAAATTTCTCAGGAAAAAACTCTCCTCTGGCAACCCTATTCACAGGACTCAAATGTAATACAGGGTTTCAGATACAAGGTTGTATAAGTTGTGTCTCTCATGTCAGTCATAAGTTGGCTCCCCAGAGGAGCAGCCTGCTGGGGTCCCATAATTCCCAGGAAGTATGTAATCGCATAAGTCAGAGTAGCCTAAAAGGCTGGTGATTTCATGAGCTAAACTATTTTTTCTAGTAGTGTAAGTGAAAGGCTGCATCTTCACAGGGTGCAGTGCACGTTCTCCATGGAACCGAGCAGATGTATGCTTTGACTCTGTGTTTCCTATCATTGCTCATGCGTTCTTTAAAAGTAAAGTGTTGTGCTTTCCCTCTTCAGAAAACAGTTTGAAGAAATGGCCTCTCACCATCGCTTGTCCATAAAGGAGTTTGCCAAGCGTGTGACTCAAGCCACATCAGAAGAGCGACAGAAAATGCTCAGAGACTTCTATGTCTCTCAGCATCCAGATGTGGAAGATTTCCTGGTGGGTTCTGCTTCAGTGCTCACCACATCTGCCTGCAAGGAAAGAGAGCGAGTGGGGCGTGAATCTAAAGAAAGAGAGTCACTTAAGAAAGAAAGGCTGCTGTGTCCTAAAACGCCACCCTTTAAAGATTCCACCAACAATGGTTCTCAAGTTTGGAGCCCAGAAATACAGGGAAAAAAATCAGTTCAGTTTCAAAATCATGTTTCCCGTAAAAAAGAGGTGCAGTCTCCTAACACAGAAGCTGAGCAATCACCTGCTGTCTCTACTGGAGAGACTGACAGTGGGAAAGACAGCCGAGCTCCTGAAGACCCCACAGAATCCTCCCTGAGCAGTGAGGCTGAGGCCCACAAGACAAAGTTAGGAAGCACCGTGCAAAGCCAGCAGGGCCTCACAAGAAGAAACAGGCCCCTTTTCAAACTGGAAGACAGAACTACAGAAAACCCAGTGTCAGAACACCCTTCCCTGGAGGGCTTGCTCGGTGACACTTCTATTCTTGGCGGGCTCTTTAAAAGTCACGGGAACAGTGCCACACGACAGCCAAAGAAGATTCTTTCAGGACCCTTGGAAAAAGCAAAGCAGAGACCAAAAGATTTCTGGGACATCTTGAATGAGCAGAATGATGACAGTCTTAGTAAACTCACCGACCTCTCAGTGATAGAGACCCTGTGTGAAAAAACCCCCATTGCTGCGTCCTCCAAGAGGAAAGAGGACCTGGGCACTTCTCTTTGGAGATCGAATGAGAAGTTTCTATGGAAGACATTTACCTCAAGTGAGACAGATGAAAACTCAGCCAGCACACAGGGAGAGTGACACGCCAGCACATCGGTGATGTGCACGGCTGCCATCACTCACTGTTAGGCCACTGGATGTGTCACAACCGTGTATATGTGTAGTTATATACACTAATTGTAGCAGCTCAAGCACTGTTGTTAGCGTGTTTGTATTAAGTTGGTGCCCTAGAGGTGGTTTACAGAGTAAAATGTTACGGATTTGCTTCCCTTGACACCTGACTCGATCTTTCAAAAATAAACTGTAGGGCTCAAATGGCAGAGCACCTGCCTAGCATGTGCAAGGCCCTGGGTTCCAGCCCAGCCCCACCAAAACAAATGTCCTCCAGGATAAGCCTTTGTTATGAAATTTTAAATATTTTAGATTTGTTACCAGGAGACTGGGGCATCTGTCTCCCCTACTGTGTGATTACGTGACCTTAGATTAATCACTTGTCCTGCTGTGTAACCATTGCCTAATATGAAAGGGACAGGGTTTGAACCAGATCAACACGAGTGCCCTTCCACTTCTCTGACGCTTCAGTTCTCTCCAAGTTCCGTTCACTCAGAGGCCACTTCCTGCCCCCATATCAGGTGCACACTCGTGTGTCTGTCCTACTAGTGTTTGCAAAGGCATTCGATGTTTCCCAAAAACCCATGGTTTCACAGTGTGTTGTTAAATTCCTTTAGATAAGAGTCACAGTTAGCCCTGAATGTGTGGTATTATGTTATTTTATAACAGCTCCAATCAAAGGTTAATGTGTAACTGTGAGACACACTGCTCAAGGAACAGGATTACCACCACTGGCTGTGTAAGACCAGTACACACTATCACATTTAATCAATGTAAATAAGGCTTTGTACAGAGCTTTTATATTTCGTAAGGAGGAAGAAATGAGTGGATTTGATTGTCATTGGAGCTGTTACATCTAACTAGATTTAATGTCCGTGCTTCTACCCATGCTGGAATGTGCTCAATGATGAATTGATCTGTTTAGAAACACCCATTCAGCATCCGTGTTCTGCGCCAGGAGCACGGGCTGTACAGATGGACGCAGCTACAGGGAGATGTGAGGAGATGGTGTCTGTGAAGACTTGTGTAGGGCATGGGTGCATGGCCCCAGCGGTAGTGCCACGCGTGACCCTGAGTTCAGTCCCCAGTTCTGAAAACACAATCGTGTCATCTTCAGCCAGCCTGGCACATCGAAAGCAGGGTCCTCGTGCTGGACTGCCTTTCAGATGCGGTGCTGTGACTTTCCCTCAGTTAAACTCAGGGCTGTGATGGGAGGAGTGTCCATCCAGAAAATGTCGGTGAACCAGGTTGTTTTCAGAAATCACTGTGTGGAAAAAGGACTTGGGGGTGCCTGGGGTGTGAAGCCATTGCTCAGCAGTGAAAGAGCAAAGACACAAATCTTCTCAACGGACTGAATCACCAGGTGTGATTTTCTTTAGAGCAATGATTTTCCCTACAGAGGTATGAATTGTATTTTATGTCATGACCCAGAACACACGTGCTCATGCATATAAATGATTAAAGGAAAATATTTATGAAATAACATCTACCCTTAGTTATGCAGACGCTTTGTTTTTTTCTCTTCTAGGAGCGTGTTGTGTGTGTACACTTGTGTGGTGTGCGTGGGGGGAGGTGTTAATGCTCTCAGAATCCACTTCCTGGCCCTAATGATTGGGAGCCACGGCTTGAAGAGCACGACTTCAGGTCACGCAGTCTTGGTCATCTGTCTGCTGCGGGCCGCCGTATTACATCCAGACTCATCCAGCGCTGCGTTTGCCACCCGGGGTCTTTCGGTGCGATGAGTGCGCTACACAGGCTGTGGAAGACTGGGCGTGTCGTAGGCAGCTTGCTGACTCTGGGCAGTAAGCAGACCCCACTTCACCTCAACTTAGAATGTAGTTCAGACATTTTCATGAAGCACACAGTAAGTAACTCTGTACTTTCCAAATACAAAGAAATGTCCTGAAAGAGACATTTTATCAATAGTCTTCAAACTGGACCCAACACACACACCTGGTGTTTACAAATTACTTTCCAGCAGTCGTTAGTGAAATACCAATGGCCATCATGACGTAGGAGCATCGTGCCAGGCCAAGGGCAGAGTCCAGTCCGAAAGGACTGTCAGTGGTTCAGAGGGGGAACTGTCAGGGCTGACTCCCTGCAGTGAAGTGGTGGGAAGGTTTGGTGAACCTGGGAACAGACACTGTTATTCAGCCTTCTGTTACTATGAGAAATTCTCAAGACAATCAACTTAGAAAAGGTTTATTTTGCCTCACAGTTTCAGAGGTTCCTGTCCATGGTCAGTTGGTCCCCATGGAGGGAGTGCGTGGTGGGGCAAAACCACTCACCTTGTGGCCTGGAAGAGAAGAAGGGTCTAGGGTGCCTTGAGGACACACTCCCAGAGACCTAAAGACCTCCCCCCACACGCACTGGGCCTCACCTCCTGAAGGCTCCACCACTTCAGTGGCACACCCTGGGCGAGCTAGTCTTTTTCTCATAGACCTTTTAGGAACCACCAAGATCCAAATTACAGTGTCCTGCCCCAGCCCCCAAAGACTTGTGTCATCTCACATTGCAATGAGTTCCAAAGAGTTCCATACCCAAGAGTTCCAAAGTCTACCCTGAGGTGCAAAACAAACTCAGCCATGGGCCCCAGAGAAAGTCAGAGTTATATGTCTGTCCCAGGTGTGGGGAGCGGATTAAGCCTACGAGAACTGGGCACAAGCAAGGCAAGATGCAGTTAATTGCTTTTACCTGTAGGCCGAGATAGGCACAGCCCCCGGCCACAGCTGCCTCTCCTAAGCTTGTGTTCAGAGAAGCAGGAACGCAGGTTTCTCCTGTTACAATGTCACATCCCTCCCCGAGAGCCTCTGCTCCACCCTGTTTGCCGCTGTTCATAAAAGGCCCCTGAAGGAGGAAGAGGGGCTTTGGCTTTTGGGGTTTTACCTTGGGCCTTTTGGTATGGGAAGCTTTTGGAAGGGGAAAAGAATTATTGAAGGGAAAAGAATTGTTAAAGGGAAAATGCTAAAGAGGGGTGACAGAAAGTCTGCACTGAGTTAATGTAGGCTTCAGAAAGCAAAGCTGAGAAGGAACCTCATACATAGCCCTTAGGAAAGCTGAAGCTAAAGGAAAGCCAAAGCGACCACGGGACAGTGCACAGTGCAAGTCTAAGAACCAAGGCCTTAGGAGTTATGCATATGCAGGTTGTAGGCGCTGCCGTTTGCAAGTTTGAGCACCAAGGCTTTGAGAGAGCTAAAGAGAGAGGGGACAGTGCAAGCCTGGGGCAAAAGACTTTAAGAGCAATTAAGCTAAAGGACAGCTGAGAGCAAACATGCGACAGTGCCAGCCTAAGGAATGAAGTTTGAAGCAAGGTTTTAAAGAACTGCACGGAGTAAGGCCTTAAAGAATCTGGAGAAGAGAAGCACTGAGAGTTGTGCATCTCCAGTCGAGCGTACAACACACCTGTCTCCAACTTTCTGTTTGTCTGTCTATCTTGTGTCTTTTCTAAAATCTCCACTCGCCCCCAGTTAAGCCCTGTTAGGTCCAGTAATAACCAAGGAGCAAGAGAGAGAAAAACCTCGCTCCAGCAAGGGCGGGGGGGGGGGGCGGGGAGCACGAGAAACAGCACCCCCTTCACCAGATAAAATTGTGGAGCCAAAAAGGAGAGCTAGGGGAATAGAGAGCAAGGGTCAGGCCAAAGCAAGACAAATTTGTGAAACATGTCTCCGTGCCCAACATCTGGACACACTGTAGGGGATGTGACTGCAAAGGCATGGGAAGCCCCACCTCTATGGCTTTGCTGGCTGCAGCCCACAGAGTCTCTCTCTGGCGTGGGAGGCATTCCACATTGCTGGCATCTCTTACCTTCCTGGTGTCTCCATTGCAGCTTTGGCTCCACTCTCAAAGATCCATGCAATACCCTTCCAGGAGCTGCTAGCAGGAACCCCAATACTGCCACACACTACTAGCCTCCCAGGGTTTCCTGTGAAATCTCGGCGGACGCCTCCACCAGCCCGTAACTCCTGCATTCTGCAGACCTGCACAGGTAGCATCGTGTGGATGACACAAAGGTCTGCCACCAGGACAAGCCGTACCCGGGCTTGAGCCGTGACTGCAGAGCCGCTGAGTACTGCCGGCTGAGCACAGGAAATAAGTCCCTGGGTACTCTGGAGGCACACAAAGTGCTCCAGGGCTCTGTCTCGGCAAAATCTCAGAAGAGATCACACCTCCACCCCTTTGAGCCTGTGACAGGTGAGGTGGCCTTGCAGATCCCCCGTGATATCCTCGCGATATCGTTTATCCTGTGCACAGTCCTTGGTTACTTTTTAATGGTACTCATCCGTACAACCTCCCCCACCTTCCTCACCAAACTGCAAATTCGTCAAATCTTTCTGCTTCCCTCCTCTTCCTTCTCGACGCTCATGGTAAATGTGGGTAAAAGCACTAATACCCATGCTGTTCTACCTTCAGTGTCCTCCCCCAAAGAAACTAGGCCGTCACCTGGAACCTCAGCCTCCCACGCGGTATCAGAGCATGGACAAAGTGCACGTTCCTGGCTGCAGTCCTGGGTCCAGTAAGAGTCCCCATTTCCATCTGAAACCATCAGCAGAGACGTATCTCCACATTCCTATCACAGCGTGGTCTTCCAAGCCCATACCACCACTCAATGAACCTATTCAGCTTCACTTACACATGCTAGGCTTTCTCTTCCCTCTGACCCCAAACTTTTCCAAACTCCTCCCATAAGCCAATTCCAAAGGCTTTCCCACATTGCCAGGTAGAGTCAAGGACCCCACTTCTTGGTACCAACTTTCTGTCCTAGTCAGCTTTCTGTGACTATAACCAAATACCTAAGATATTCAGCTTATGAAAAGAAAAAGGTTGGCTCTTTGTGTCAGAGGTTCTGGTCTATGCTTAATCAGCCCACTTGCTTACATCACAGGAAACAACACCACTCACCCCATAGCCAGGAAGTAAATAGAGAAAAAGAGTCTGGGGTCCCGTTATCTCTGAGGAGCTTCCACTGTGCCTGCCTCCTGAAGGCTCCACAACCTCCCAGGAGCACCACCCTGGGAGAGCAGGCGTTTACCACGTGGACTTTGGGGTCACTCGGTAAGGACCCTTCCTACACCCACCTCACTGGTGTGATGTCATCCTCTCTGCCAACCCAATGTGGGTGGTCTGCAGAAAACCTCAGCCTTGACTTCTCTTTAAGTTAGGGATTGAATTGGGGGTGTGCAGGCTTTTGTTTTTTTTTAAGCAAATGAACTGTATCTTCATCAGAAGCTCAAGTATTCAACCGATTCAAGTTCGAGCTGTACCACCGTGGCTCCGCATAAATCCTGGCTGACAGACCTTCCAACCTCAAAGTCCCCCTGATTCCATCTGCCATCACCTGGCTTTCTTGCTTCTCTTCAAAGCCACGACAGGGTTTCTGGCTGCTGGCCGTTACCACACAGCTATTAATCCCAGATACAGGGACAAGACACTGAGAGTCCAGCGTTTGAATTCCTCAGGCCTCGAAACCCACTTCAAGAAAATTCACCTGCAAGTAGTGCACCGTCCCAGGGTCACCAAAGCAAAGGAGCCTTGATTTGCAGAGATGAGTTGGTGAGTAACAGCCCATCAGGCCACAGAAAACAGAATCCACAGGCAGTTAGGGTTGGTTGTCTGTGCAGTTCTTAAATTCTGAAGTGATCCTTCCTTTACCATGTGACAGTGCCCCCTTTTGTGAAATGACATTAGCAGATCGTAGTTTTTTCAGCTTTTTCGTTGTCCTTACTTGACGTAAAAGTTTTATTGGACATTTACTCATCTATAGAATCCCAAAGAATGGGTGGCACTGCCTGCCTTTCGGGTCATGTTTTTCCCAAGTGAGGAAATTCAGCTCTTCAGGTCATTTCGACACAAATCCAGTTACCAGTGGACCTAGAACTCACCAAGGATGTCATTGAACCTGTCACATCAGAGGAGCTGCCTATGCCTTCAAATACCTGAGTGGAGGCCATTTTTCCCACTCCTCGCCTACTTCTTTAGTCATTTCTGAGGTGACCCTCTCCGCTCCTTCTGGGAGACCTTATAGGATGGCCTGACGGCACCGCCCCCAACTGACAGCTGAGCATCCATGTGTTGGTGGTAGGTGGGTGGACGTCCCGCTCATTAAAGGGCAGCTGGCCTCAGAAGCCCTTTTGGTGCCCACCTTCCTTTGCAGGTTATCCTTCCTTCCAGTGCCCCCAGCTGAGCAGTGCCCAGCTCAGGTGGCAGTTGAAAGCCACCTGCAGAGGCTTTGAGACACACAGGTTTCCTGCTCCCTCCTCAGAGGGGTCTGGCTCCGGGGTGTAGGGAAGTAGGGTTTGGTGCAGTTGTTCAGATGTCCAGTGCTTTGAGGGTTGTCTCTGGGCAAGACTCCCCACCTGACCTTCTGTGCCCCCTGGGAGTCACTCTTCCCAGAGAGACACTTCAGTGAGCTGAGCACCCCTTCCCCATCTCCTTCCACCCCACCCCAGCCCTGTGTAAGCCAGTGGACACGCACCTGAGCTCATAATGGACCTCACGCCATGCTTTTTTTTGTAAGCCCCAAAGTTATGTTCCTATAAAAGATACCCATGTATATCCACCTTCATGGCAGAATTGTGCATGACAGCTGAACCACAGAAGCAGTCCACTGGTGAATGAAAGATAAGCAAAATAAAGCAGAATACTATTCAGCCCTGAAAAGGAAGGACATTCAACATGGGACAGAATAGATGGACCTTAAGGACCACATGCAAAGTAAAATAAGCCAGACACAAAGAACAAGTATTGCGTGATTCCGCTGCCACGAGGCACAACAGAAACAGAGTGGGGTGGTTCCCGGGGACGGGAAGGAGAGTAAGATGGGGAGTTGTCTAACAGCCAGGGAGTTCCAGTTTTGCAA